GTGCACAGCCGAGGTGCAAGTTTCCCCGTGTATGGGGGGGTGCAGTTTCCTCTCCACCCACCGAAGCGGGGTGGATGTTCAGCACCCAGCACCGCCACTGCCCGCACGGCTCAGCCCCAGCGCAGGCTGTCGTGGGTGCCCCGGCGCGGGTGCACCCAGCAGGGCCGTGCTGGGGGCAGGCAGGGGCCCGGCTGTGACCCTCTCCCGGGATGCCTGCAGGTGTGAACCAGTTCTGCCAGGACATCGTGGACATGATCTGCCGGTGCCCGCCCTGGTGCAGCCACATGCTGGGCTACTTCAAGTTGTGCTGGGTCTTCTTTACCCCCTGCCTGCTGCTGGTGAGCACCAAGCACCCACCTGGGGCTGGAGGTCGAGGGGAGAAGAGCTCCCCTCCCTCCATCTCTCCCTCCCCTCTGAGAGGGGCAGCTCTTGCCGTGGGTTTGGAGTGGGGCTGCCCCGGTCCCGGCGCCCTCCCGGGCCTCTCTGCGGCTGCTGGAGGGAGTTTGGGGCAGCCCTGGGGGTCCCTGCGGCACCCAGCCTGGCCAAGACCCCTGGGGCCAGGCGGTGCCGTGGCGTCACATCGCTCCTGCCTGCTCTGCCCTGCAGTTCACGCTGATCTACACCTTCCTGGACATGTACAGCGTGCCCCTGCGCTACGGCACCTACAAGTACCCCGCCTGGGGCATGAGCCTGGGTGTCTGCATGGGCGTCCTCACCTGCCTGCAGATCCCGCTCTGGGCCACTGTGGCCCTGTGTCACGAGTCGGGGACGCTGAGTGACGTGAGTGTGCAAGGCGGGATGGGGCATGGGGACGGGGACGGGGACGGGGCGGGGGCAGAGCAGGGGCGATGCTGTCCCTTCCCCAAGAGAGAAAAAGGGCTGGAGCTGCGGGGCCAGGGTGAGAAGTGGGGTCTGAGCCCCTTCATGGCTGTGCCCGCTGCTGCCCCTTCCCGCAGCGACGCTGCCCTCTGCCCCGCAGGGGCTCGGGACAGCCCCTGCTCACCCTCGCCCACCCCCAGCGCTTCCAGAAAGCCACCCAGCCCCTGCGCTCCTGGAGGACGGCCACCGCCCGGGACGTGGCTGGAGAGGTCATCGACGTGCCGTTCACCATCACCCTGACCGGCAGCGACTTCTCTGGGCTGCCCCACGGCAGCAACGAAGTCTGATGCCGGCCCTCAGGCACTCCACGTCCTCGCTCGGAGCCCCCCAGGAAGACGGGACCCGCTGGCGATGGGGACATCTGCCTGGGGGCTGGCTCTGGTGCACGTGGGTCCCTGGGTGCCATCACCGTCACCCATCCTGGCGGATGGTAACCACTGAGCCTAGCACAGATTTTAATTCTTTTTCCTGGAAACGTTCTGCATGCTCCAAAGGTGTTTCTAGGGGACTCTCTGTGAGCAGGACCGGCTGCCCGGGCCGCGCTCCAGCCCTTCGCCTGCCTCTGGGCAGCTGTCATGCCTCGGAGCGGTTTGGGGGCGGCCGCGGGCGGCCCCCGGCCC